TTGTTGGGGGGGGGGGGGGGGGGGGGGGGGATTGTACTAAGAAAAGAAAGGAAGAAAATAATTCAACTGACCTTGACAAACTTCTTTAGTTTTTCTACCTTCTCTTCCACCTCTTCCCTGTGCTTCTTGACAATTTCACTCGTGGCATCAGCCCATTTTATCTTCTCTTGAATCGAAACAAGCAGAATTTCTGACTTAGACAACCTAAGTTTCTCATTCATGAATTAGATTTCAATGATGTTTTGGACATAAACTTTGTCCTAAAAATTAGCAGAATATAGATAAATACCATTCCGAAAAGCTCTGAACCATAAACAAGACATAGAAATGGAAAACAAAAACCTAACAATCAAAAGTTAATTTGAGACAAGTTGATAATTGGAAGTTCAAACCAACTTCAATCGACCTTGGATGCTGAGCAAATAATGAGGAATAAGGAAAATAAATTACAATTTTTCACTGATATATACAGCTATCCAGTCTCACCGGTTATTTTTATTTTGATAACCATATTATTGATGTGAAGTATCCACCAACTTTTTTGATGAATAATCTTTATGAGGAACTTGACTGACCACCTTTAATGAAGTATTTCCTTCCAACCATGTTTTTTCCATCCACAAGACTCAAACTCAAAATTTTGCTTAAAAGGATCAAATTTAGTACTACTAAAACAATAACTTGTTTGTTCACTAGTCATGTTTACCATCTGACGAAGCAACCAAATACTTCTTTTTCCTATACAGGCAGTTGATTTACTAATAATCAAACATGTGACTCCAAGTTATTCAAGCTCCTACTTCAAAACGGATGCATTACCAGTTAGAGAGTGTCTGTACCATACTCCCTAGTTGAGCAGGCCTTGAGTCCCTACATGCTGCAAATTGGACCTGAAATGACCCGCAAAGATCAACTAAATTCCTGAGATGACTCATTAAATTAAAAGTAGAAAGAGATCAATAGTGCAATTCTTAGAATTAACAGACGATGATGAGCTAAAACCTCAAAGCATCGCTGCAGCTGATCCAGCTTTCCTCTTACTATTCCCTGATGGAAGCAAGAAAAATTAGAAAACAATTTTATTAATTTGACTATCTAACATATGCAGAATCACTATTAAGAAATGTTCTGAAAGAAAATAACAAAAAGCCTACAGATGAAAAATAAAAGGTTTAAATATGTTTTCATTCCTTCAAATTTAAGATAAATTTGTTTTTGGTCTTTCAAATTTAAAATTATTTTTTTAGTCATATAATTTTCAAGAATTTTATTTTAATCCTTATATTTAACTTTTGTTAGGAAATGTGTCAAATACTATTATATAAAATCTACCTATTTTTGTTACATTTACATATGTTATTAGTGACCCAAGAGACTAAAAATTATTGATAAATTTTTTTAAAATTACAGGACTAAAAAGATCAGTTTTAAATTTGATGGACTAAAAACAAATTTAACTTAAATTTAAAGGATTAAAAACATTTAAGCCAAAATAAAATAAAAATTAGAAAAAACAAGTACCAACAAGTTATGATAAATATATACATTGAAAACTAAGGAGTCAGACACAAGTGGTTAATGTACTGATTCCAAGATTGAATTGTTCGGGCAGTGCCCGAGTTCGATCTTGACGGAAACAATCCATGGCCTGACTTTATTTACCTCCCGATCAAACCAGATTAATTTAAGGCCAAGCCTTAGAACACTGGTGCAAAAAAAAAAAATTATACCAAAAAAAAATATATACATTGTAAGCTTTGTATCTTATTTACAATGAATTTTATCACTATAGCAGATGAAAAATAATGAATTAGCAGAGGACTAAATGAAAATTATATAAAAGAAAGAAAAAAGATAACCATTTCATGCAATAATTGCAGGCATTAATAGTATAAGGCAGAGATCAACCATGTAACATTTACAGCAATGTTACCAGATCCCTCTGGGTAGCTATTGCCTAGATTGTAATACCAATTGGTATTAAGTTATTAACACAAATTATATAGTATATACTTTACATGCACAGATCTTGTAAAGAATAATCCCCAAATATTTCCATTATGCACATTTTCTTTAGCAGATTTTGTGTGATTAATGAATGAACTCTTATATATTGAACATGAACAATTATTTTGCGCAAGAGCTTTTTTAGAAATTATTTTTTGTCCGGAGTTTTTTTTAAGGATTCTTTTAATTTCTTATCTAATTTAATTTTTTATTTATCACATGTATTTATGAATTAAATTTTAATATTTAAAAATAAATTATCAATAATTAAAAATAATTATCATGTCATAATATAAATTATTTATCTTAAATATTAAATATAATTTATATGTTTAAAAATACTTAGTTATACAAATTTTAAATATAATTATATATTCAAATATAGTATTTATTTATATATATAATTTATAACAAATTTTAATTATATTATAATAAACATTTAACTTCTGAAATGTCCATGTTAAAATACTAGTTTATTATAATTTTTGCTGATGTTTGAATAGCACCAGAATTGATGTATTATATTATTCTCCTGTTTCCATTAGAAAGATTAGGCGTTATTATACCTCGTTTCTAATGAATTATTTTATTACAATGGCAATGAAAAGACAGTCATAATAAAAAAACGGTTGTGTAAATGCACATTTCATAAATTTTACCATATTTGAGCAGAAATACATTCTCTTGGAAGGGAATGATGCCTACCGCGTATATGCATTCCCTAATTAGAAAATCTTCGAGTTCACGAATATTTGTCAATTCCAATTCCTGCATCAGTTGGTCATAGGGTAGTACCTAAAGAAAAATAAACATGCATTTATAAAATTGATTACGAAATCCAAAAGATGAAGACACTCAGTCTCAAACAGCAAAACTAGACAGAAATATTTTAGTGTTAATGATGTTGTATGAAAGTACATAGAAAGAGAAAATACATTTTAAAATGATGATTTCGATTAAACAATCCTATACAAAATCAAGATAGATTCTAGGCAAGAGTTGGATTCCTCTTCCATTTTTTATAAAACGACATGTGTTTAGAGAGGGCTAAAAGAGAGAATAAGATATCCTACAAAGTGTAAAATCGCATCCTCTAAAGAAGAGAAAACTAATTTCTCAAAACAAACCTAATCTCATAACAGATGTGATGGCAAAAAGGCGGCACCATTGAAAGTGATGACTGATGAGTGTTGCAAAATGTACGAAATGTAAAAACAGCACACTAGCACTGAATTTTACCCTCCTCATTATTATAAGAGGTATTTTTGACATTATATTTGTAGAACTACAAGCAAGTAACTGTATGCACATTGGTCAACAATCTAGCAAATGCAATATATCAAAATGAGTGACAAAGAAAGGGTCTGCCCGAATGTAACAAATAGAATACAGAAATTAAAGTATGATGGCACTAAAGAAATTATCAACTTCCACAATGATAACCAAAAAATTGGCGGCTGTTTTATATAGGTATGATGACACCACAATCAAATCTATCCCAAACCAAGGAGACTTTGATTTGATGAGCAGCTTTCATGGGAAATCTTCCCCCCTTTTCCAAAAAGAAAAGTTATTGAAGAGAAACAAAGGTACATGAAAGGAGAGGACAAGGCAAGCTCTAAAACACAAAGGAACAACCAAACATAAAGAAAATTAAGATGCTACAATGCTGCCCAATCTCTCTACGTATTAGAGAAGATTTCTCGATACAAAAACCGGTAAACACAAAATCATAGTCCTATTCCAAACAACACAAATAAACAAATTATTAATATTGACGACGATAAAGCATAACCTAAGCAGCCATGATTAGCTTCAGGGCATAAGCACCTCAATTCAGGACCTTGCACTAACGCAAAGGGGAAGGGGATTGAAGAATTACAGGACACAAAGCAGAAAGAATTCATTTTTCACCCCAAACTAAATTAAGATATGTTCGTCAACTTCCATTTATAACATAACCTATAAAAGACGAGCAAGTCATCTGTACTGGAGTAGGTCACGTGCTGGTCACTCTCACATTGTAATGGTTCAGTGATCAGTGATCACCCCCAATAACTAAGTCAAGCAAAATAGCTGATAACACTAGGCCTAATAGGTAATACTTTGTATGTCTCAGCCAGTGTAAGAACGGTGAGTTGCTTAAGCTTGACGATTTGATCAGGTACCAATTGTGGAAGTTGATCAGAATTACCTGCAAGCAACTTAAACTTTTTAATAAACACTGTTATTTATCTTTATTTTCATATATAAATTAATAAAGAAACAAAGATACAAAAACAAAATAAAAAATCGTGAAATGAGGATAAATGTACCGTGCACCAATTTTCCTAATGATGTTTGCAAAGTAGAAAATAATGTGATATGTATAAATAAAGGCTTCTTTTGTTACAGGATACACCAAGCAAGGCATAATAATAGTGGGCTACTGGGCTATGACTGAAATCACAATGAAAAATATGCTTCTATCCCAGCATGCATACCTTATATTATTTAAATTCACTTGTACATATAAACCCGTAATGTTAACAATAGTTAGAAGCGTTAAGAAACTAGTGCAAGAGAAAATACCCATCTATCGGACATAAATGCAAGAAGAAAAAAAAAAACATAAAAGGTGAATTCATAGGCTTACTCGTGTAATCACCCCATGTTCCATGGGCAAACAACCGAAGCATATCAAGATAGCCAGAATTCTCAGTTTCTTTAAGCTGTGAGAAATCACAAGTCAATTTCTTAGCAGACATGCAGGAACTAATTAGCAAAAATAGCGTTCTCATGTCACTCGCGAATTTTCATATTACCTCAAAACAAAAATGGCAACAAAAATTAAATACTACATTTATAATAATAATAATAATAATAATAATAATAATAATAATAATAATAATATCAACAACAAAAACATTATAATAATAATAATAATTAAAATGCTCGCCATATAACACGAGTACGCTATCAATTCAGGAACTAATTCAAAAAACTGAATTGGTAAAAACAGCCTTCACATGTTACTCACAATTTTTCATATTACCTCGAGAGAAAAAAAAAATTACAACCGAAATTTCCTAAACTAAATACTGCATTGATAATGATGATGATGAACATCATCATCATCATAATAATAATAATTAAAAATGCTGTCCATTAAACATTATCAATTTTACAGCATGCAAAATAGAAGACAGCACATGATGATGAGAGCGAACGCAAAGGCCCTAAATCGATAAATAAAAAAAGGAGAAAATAACGAAAGCGGTTTTGCTTTTCCACTTCATTTGCAAATCAACTATCAGTCGTACATGCAAAACAATAAAACTTTTAAAAGAAAAAAAAATGGGAAGAAGCTTTGAAAAAGTGTGAAATGATGGTGAAGAAAGAGGAACCTGTAGAAGATTGGGGAGGGAGAGAATCTCAGAGAAAAATAATAGCGAAGGGTGAGAAGTGGCTTGGACGAGGACGGAAGCGAGTGCGTGATCGTTGGGGGAAGCAGAGGCTTGCTTCACGAAGTGCTCCACCAACTCCGATTGCTCCTGCTCCATTTTCACTCTCGTATTTGCCGCCACCACTTCTTTATATACCCCACATCTTAAATTTTAAATAATTAAGGTAAAAATGACTCGCCTGTTAAGGAAATCATAATTATTCGTCAATCAATGTAATTTACCTAATTCAGTGCTACACAATTTTGATATCCGCTGGTTGGATTCTTATAAATAAAATTACAAATATTTTTTATTTGAAAATGTTTAAATTGTTTAACTTTTGTATTTTAAAATAATTGAAAGTATTTAAATATGCATTTTTCACCATTAATGTTGTTACAACAAATTTTTAATGTAATGCGACAAATTTTAGCAACACAATTTTATCATTTTTTTATTATAATAACAAATTTATTGAAAATTAAAAATTATGTGAGCTTAACTGCATATTTAATAATTCATTAGTTTTTTTTTATATAATTTTTTGATAATTTTTAACAAGAAAAAAAATATTAGAAGAAATGCATTGTTAGAACTCAATCACCTCACATGAATTCTTGTATAACTTAATAATGTCATGATATATATATATATATATATATATATATATATGAATATATATATATATGAAAAACAAAAATTAAAAAAACTTTTACACTATTTAGAAAGATTAAAACAAGACTTTGTAACTATTTTAAGATATTAAAATCAAACTTTTATACAACATTATGAAAATAAAATTGAGTTATACATCCTTTTTTACAATATCCAATAGAAGAAATAACATTATAAATTAAATAACAGTATTAATTAATCATCTTGAACAATAATTAACCAATAATTTTAAGTACATAATAATTATATTAAATATAGAAAGAGAATTGTGTTTGTTGATAATAATTCTATCCATTTTGAGTAAAATTTTCTCTTACAAGATACATATTATATATATATATATATATATAATTTACTACGCTTTCTATTTAAAAATAACATTATATCTATATGATTTATTATAAGTTATATATATATATATATATAAAAAGGTTTAAATGACACCGGTATAACTTTAACTAAGTGTTATACCGTTCAATACCGTTATATTAATTGTGAATTTTGTAAATCCAACTGTTAGATTGAAAGTTCATATCATTTTATTTTTTGTCTCAATTTGGTCCCTAATAAATTAATTGGTTGCAATGTCGGACTTCCATCCAAATTATTTAGACGAAGTTAATTGTTGGTCACGTGGATACTACGTGGATGCCAAGTGGAAGTCACGTGGATGTCAAATTTTTGTCATACATCTAGAATCAGAACGGGCTCTTCTGGTTTCAGAATGTCACTCATACAGTTAATGATTATATCCATAAATTTTAGATTGCGATAACAATACTTATTCATATATTTGTAATATTAAAAATTGTATATATAATTTTTTTAAGTATAAATATATGTTATAGTTATTTTTTACAAGTTTTTATATCTACAATTATGATTAAGGATGAAAATAAACTAGGTCAGATTATGTTATACTGTAATTTAATAGATTTAAACCTAATTTTTGTTAAAAATACTTGTTATAAATATTATATATTTATCTGTCATAGACATTTTTTAAAATGTTTAGTTACATAACAATCTTAAAAACTTACTTAATAATAATTTAACACTAATAAAAACATATAAATAAATATGTTAAATCTTATAAAAATTAAGTTTAATTTATTTATCATATAAAGATGTTTTTAATATGTGATATAAATTTTTACAAGGCTTAAATATGTTTTTAGTCCCTCAATTTAGGGTAAATCTATTTTTGATCCCTCAAATTTAAAATTGTTGTTTTTAGTCCATGTAATTTCAAAAAATCTTAATTTAGTCCTTATATTCAAATTTTGTTAAGAAATTTATCAAACATTATTGCATAAAATCTACCTATTGGTATTTTTATTAGTGAAAATATCACATTAAATCCGGTTGATATTACATAATTGTCTTAATTAGTCACTTTCAAATATGTTATTGGTGATCTAAGGGACTAAAACAAGATTTTTAAAAATTACAAGGACTAAAAACAACAGTTTTAAATTTGAGGGACCAAAAACAAATTTATTTTAAATTTGAGGGACTAAAAACATATTTAAGCCTTTTTACAATTTTAATTTTTTTATCAAAATAAACAATAAATAGAAAGTACAAAAGTTTGACAAATATTAGATAAATGAATAATTCATCGAAATTTATATTTTATACATACAATAATTTAAAATATATATATATATATTAGAATATAATTTTTATTTTTTAAAATATATTATTTTTTAGATAAAAAAAAATTGTGTATGTGTAAATGGTTTGCTTTCGATTTTTGAACTACACTAGTGCACTATGTTGGTTGGCGTCCTAGAACGACCCGTTCTGAATGCAGAACGACCCGTTTTGAATTCCAGAACAGCCCGTTCTGCTGCACGGTTGGGGTTAAATAATGCATCTGGAATGGGGCGTTCCAGATGCAAAATTTACACACCATAAGTGCAGCTGGAACGGGTCGTTTCGGTTTCAGAACGGGCCGTTCCGGTTCCAGATGCATGACAAAATTTGACATCCACGTGGCATGTACGTAGCTTCCACGTGGCATCTACGTAACTTCCATGTGGCATCCACGTGGTCAATAGTTAACTCCGTCTAAATAATTTGGACGGAAGTCCAACATTGCAACCAAATAATTTATTAGGGACCAAATTGAGACAAAAAATAAAAGTGAGACTAAATTGAAACAAACAATTATTATAAAGGACTAAAATACTATTTTAGCCTATTTTAGTGTATTTTGAAATAAATATATTACGTCAATTTTGTTTTAAAAAAATGAAGTATCAAATCATTTTGAATTAATATAAAATTTTGTATATATGATCTAAAAGTAAAGAACTTTCAATTTAACGGTTAAATTTATAAAATTCACAATTAATATAAAATTATTGAGCGGTGTAATACTTAGTCAATCGTACGAAATCTTTCTCATATATAAATTATAATCATAATATAATTTAAAATTTTAAAAATATTTATTTATTATTCATATGTATTTATTATATTTTGTAAGTGCAGCTGGGCGACAGAACCTGGATGCGTTATGTATGATTCTCCATTCCAAAACCTAAAAAAAGAGGGATCAATCACACGGCAACACTGCAGCGGTGCGAGCCACCAACGACGGACGCCTCCGCCGGTAAATCGCTCGCACATCTCCTCTTTCTTTCCTTTTTGGTAAATTAGGAATGAATCTATCTAGCATGTTGTTGGTTTGTGACAGAGGGCGATTTCCCCCGAAAGAAAATAAATGTTGTAGAAGTTTCAATTAGATGGTTCCTTTTGAGGATGCCAATGTGAATAATAAGCACTAATAACTAGCTGAATCTTGTCTCAGTAGTACTGAATGACTCTTTAGTGGAATAAACATAAAATGCATTTAGTTTATGATGAAATGTAACAATGTATTGTATGTAAGAGACTGTTATTTATTCATGGCATGCCATATTCAAAACGTGGTTTGGAGGAAACATTGGCTGAATATATTACTTTTTTTTTTTAGAGTGGTTCAGGAGTTTTATACTTTTATATAATGCCTCCCCTTACTATGGTGTATACTACACTGTGTAACTGTCTAACCACAACGAAACACATATATTATGTTTGTGTTTGTTTTATTTGTTCATATGTTTTTATCGTAGACCATTGGCATTCTTTTGTTGATAACAACTTGGTTTGATTTTAAATGTTGTAATAATGCAGTTACTTATTGCACATGCGATTTGCACATGTGTGTGGATTGTAGAGCCACATGCTTTAGAAAGAAAATTGACATTGGGATCTTTTAATTTGTGCATGGCTTCAGAATTCAGATTAGTGTTACATGGTTCACTTTACTCAAATCCCCCAATGAATGTCATATGTGATCTAAAATATTCTTGTGAGTGTCATATGTTATCCGATACCATTGAGTTCATTAAATTCATTCTAATTCAATTCCTTGATGGTTAGAAATTCTAAAGTGTCTAACTTAATAAACGATTCCTCACTTTATTAAGTTGGATACCTTGCATTAAGAGTAAGAATTGTTTCAACTAATAATTCCAAATCTATTTCTAGCCTTTGAAACTATTAGGTGATTTGATTCACAACTAGATCCAAAAAGCATTTTGCAACCAAAATCTAAATCCAAGATCAAAGATAAGTGATTAGTTTATCTTAGCATTAAGAACAGAATCAAAATCGCTGATATTGAATAACAGATCATTAAATATATATGAATTAAAAGGAATACATAAGAGTTTGATGATTACATTCAATTCCAACTACAAAAGAAGATCAGCTCCTTATGATGAAGAAAACTAATCTAGAAAATATAAAGAGTGGGTGTAGAAGAAGAGAGGAAACCCTTAGAACCCCTATTCCCAGCTGGCTCTTGGACTTTTGCTTCGTTCTTCAGCTCCTCTATTCTCCAATCTTCGTCCTCTCTATTTCCCCCCTCAAAATCCTTATATATGTGTTGAAAATTAAAACAGTGTATGGAGGAGAAAGAGGGAACCGCTTAGCCCTTTGAAAACAGCTGAGCGGTTCAAAGAATTCTTCAAGGTGAAGAAACTCCAAGG